CGTAACTCGTCTCCGCACTCTCTCCTCTCACTGCAGGTCTCTCCGCCCTTGCGCGTAATCTTGGAAGCTGGAACTCGCAAAATCAAGAATGAGAGAATGAGACTGGGCCGCAGTCTTTTCTTCTTCGATTTCAAGAACGTCCAACGTTCTTACTGGTTACAACGTACGCAGCCGGCTATACGGCCTAACGGTTCGCCCTTTGCATGCGCGAATTCACGTCTCCGCACTGCGCGCATTCGCATGCGTGAATGTTGAATTCTCCCGCCGCCGCCGTCTTCCGGACTCGAGTCCGCCGTAGGGTATACGTCGGCTATGTTGTCTTTCCCTAACCCGTCCATCACCGGAGGCGCGTCGCCGCTGGCGTGTTCCTTATCCGTCGGCGCCTTGCTGGAGGCGCACATCCAGTCGGCGCGAATTACGCCGGCGCGTATTCGTACCGCTTATTTTGTCCTTTATGCCTCGTCCATTGCTGACGGCGCATATCCCGCCGGCGCAAATCATGCCAGCGCATCCGGCCATTAGCGCCACGTCGGAGGCGTACATCCGACCGGCGCTTTCCTTCCATGAGCAGCCGCCAAAGGCGCTTCCGACTCTGAGTTGGTTTCCTCCCATGAGCGCGCGATTCCGCCGAAGGCGCATCGCCGAAGGCGTACGGGAGTCCTTTCCGGCTGTGAACCCTAGCGCGAACAGCGCATGTCCGGCTACGAGTTTTCCGACGCTCATAACTTCTCCGTCCCTGATCCATCTCCGACGTTCTTGGGCTCGTTAGAACGAGCGTCCCGAGCTCTTTCTAATGCGACTTCAACCAACTGGATCTACCGTGTATTCCGATCGTTATGAAGGTTTTCCCTTTCCGCGCTAGCGGCGCATCGCCGAAGGCGCACTCATGGTCGAAAGCCTTCAGAGGTCCGGGCCGTTCTTCTGACGTCTTTAGCAAAACCTCCTCCTGAGGTGTCTGCGCCGGAAACGTAGCTTCCTTAACCGTTGGAAGCGCGTGAGTAGAGACGCCTCAGAAAAGGAGCTTTTGCCGAAGGCGCCGAAGACATTGGCGTTGGTACATCCGACTACGCGATCCTTCGTGACCTCGTGACGATCTCCTCAATCCACTCTATTTAACGTACCCTTTTCTAACTACAAACACTGCTTCGGTACTAGTTTTCTAAAATTGTTTAAATTCTGCAAAAAAAACAAAAAGTGTGTTACCACAGATATCCGATGGGGCCGTGAGATAAGATTGCTCCTGTTCTGTCGGTGACACAATAGGAAGTACAAGATTATCATCAAGAAGTTAGGAAAAGATATCCACAAATGGTTCATCTGACTGAAAATCACCCGCAACAGTTTCAAATACAGTAACATCTACGGATACAACTACTCGCTTGTTATGCGGATCCCAACATCGATAAGCCAGTGACTGCTCGTGGTACCCCAACGGGACAGCGCGAAAAGACTTCATTTGTAAATTAGTGCGTTGTTCTATTGGAACGTGAACGTATGCAAGACTTCCAATTACACGAAGTCGAGATAAGTCAGGAGGGATGCCATATAACTTCTCAAATGGTGTTGTCAAGTTCAGAGCTCGAGTCGCACACCGATTGAATACATAGTTTGCAACTCGAATGCACTCAGTCTAGAGATGTTTAGGAAACTTTTGAGAAGTAAACAGACATCTTGCAGCTTCCATCAGCGTGCGGTTTTTGCGCTCTGCAACTTTGTTTTGATGCGGAGTTTGAGCAGTGGTAAGTTGGCGTTGTATGCCTTTATTGAGACAGTAGGTTTTGAGAGATTGAGATAAATATTCTCCTCCCCTATCTGAATGCAAGTTTGAGACTTTGAAGTCCCAATCACTCTTCCGAGTAGTGATTGCAATTACTTTATGTGGAAATATTTTTTTGACTAAAGTGACAAACTGCTTGAAGCAATCAAACGTAGCACTCTTAATCCAAAGAAAGTAGGTCCATGTGTACCGTGAATAATCATCGATAATAGTCAGCATATACTTAAACTTAGTTCCTGCTACGACTAGATCACACACGTCGGTATGAATAAGCTCAAGAGTCCGAGTACTTCGCTTGGCAGGTTTCTTAAGCCTGTGAACGCGGTGTTGCTTGGACAGAACACAAGTGATGCACTTATGTTCACGGTTTGATGGTAAGTAAGGCAAACCTTTCACAAAACGTTTGGCTGACATGTGGTGTGCCGTCTGAAAATTCAAGTGACAAAGTTGATGATGCCAAAGAGTTATTGAGTCGATGGGCGGTACAGTTGCAACAGTTGGAGTGTCTTCAGTAATCCCAACAAATTGAGGAAATTCGGGAGGTTTGATTTGTCGTAAAGTTGCATGAAGCTTTCTAAGTAGTTGTCTGGATTGTTCAAATAACTGAGGATGAAAAGGCTTAACTTTGTACGGTCTACTTCTAGGGTCTCTATTTGCGTACAAAAATACACTAGTTGGATTTTGTTCATCTAAAAGAAAACATGAGTAAGGTGTAAAAAGTGCATAATACCATGAATCAATGAGTCAGCCTACAGATAATAGATTTTTTGTTAACCCAGGAATATAGAGAACGTGCTTGACGGATTTATTAGAGTCAATACACAAAGTGCCTTTTCCGGCTACAGAAAGACAAGCCCCATTGGCTGTAGACACTCCTACTGATGAAGATCCTGCTTAAAATGAAGACAAGAGAGAACGATCTCCTGTGACATGACTACTTGCTCTTGAATCAAGATAAAACAAGACATAGACAAACTTTACATGTGACACCTCTCCGATTGTTGATAAATCAACAATCGGAGAGGTGTCACATGTAAAGTTTGCTTCTATGTCCTGAGGTTCTTCAGAAACTTCTGGAGTCTGGAGATGGATCATACGATCCCCTTCTTCCACCATGTGGACCTGATCACGGTTGCTGCAACGAAGGTTGGATGCACGAATTTGCAATTGTGCAATCGACTCGTCTAATTTTCGTAAGTGACAGTCAACGACAAGATGGTTAGTCTTGCTGCAGTAGTCACAGCGTGCAGAACGTGGCATATTCCACTCTCCCCGTGGCATTGAGGGAACATGAGAACGATTTGGTCGAGAAGTATAATTTGAGCGGGTACGGAAGTGATGACGTCTAGAAGCAGAGAAATTTGCCTCTTCGTCTGATTGTGTCTTTCCCTCGGTGAAGTATTGCATGGACTGAAGACGTTCGACGAGGTCTTGAAATGACGGAGAAGGCTAGCGCTTCATTTCGCCCAAAAAATTATGCACAAAAGGGCCATAGCTACCAGGAAGTCCTTTTAGTGTGTGATGTATGAGATCAGTGCTCGGTAATCTATGACCGATGCCGACGAGTTGTGCAGCAATAGCGTATACTTGTTAGAGGTATTTTTCAAGAGAAGCACCTTCTACAAGCTGAAGCAAAGACAACGAGTGAGAGAGAATGAGCCTTCGCTGTGTGTTTCGCGATTGATATCGTTGACGAAGATGCGTCCAAAGCTTTACACGAGTGTCTTCAAAATCTGAAATAGATGGTAAGATGTCAGAATGTACAGTGGCCTAAATCAGAGATATAGCTTTGATACGACGCTTGCGGATGTCTTGCTGACGAGCGCCATCGAGATTGTGAAGTAGAATCGGTTGATGTATGATCTCATTCCAACAATCCTTGGTGTGAAGAATCGTTTTCAGGCGGATAGACCAATTGAGATAGTTGTAGCGCCCGGAAAGCTTCATAGACTCGGAAAAGTTCAAAACTTTGTCCATCGCTAGCTAAGGTCCTAGAACAACAAGTTCTCTTCTTACAGAAAGGCATCTGCTTACTGAAAGGAACAAGACCGGCAAATATCCAATCGTCGGTTGCTAGCAAAAGAAGAATAGCGAAGGAGTTGACTCTGATACCATGTTGAAAGTAAAATCTAAACTCGATGATAGATTAGAGAGAGAGAGAGAGGTCCCTTAAGTAGCAAAGGGATAAGATGGTCAAGAAGGGTATCGACCACATAAGAAGACACAAGACCGGCAAATATCTAATCGTCGGTTGCTAGCAAAAGAAGAATAGCGAAGGAGTTGGCTCTGATACCACGTTGAAAGTAAAATCTAAACTCGATGATAGATTAGAGAGAGAGAGAGGTCCCTTAAGTAGCAAAGGGATAAGATGGTCAAGAAGGGTATCGACCACAGAAGAAGACACAAGAGATCTAACAGAACATTATCCTAAACTATTCTGATCTAATCCTATCCTAATCCTGGTCACTATACTACACTAGGTAACTAATTACCAACAACAGAAGATTGGGAGCCATTAACACACTGACTTAAGTTTGGGAGGAATTTATTTTGATCATTGAAGTAGAAACAAGGTAGTTACAAGAACATAACTGACGGTGACCCGTGGGAGGGGTCCATCGGGTAAAATGGAACTTATTGGGTCTCATCAATTATTGGGTCTCATCAAGCAGTCAGCGTTCTGATGGGGTCCCATCAAGCAAATTTCTTGCAAATACATGTACAGTCCCAGAATGTATGGCTATTAGCAGACGTAACTCTCATATCTTAATGAAGTAAGAATGTAATTTTTTCATGTGACTTGTAACATCAAAATTTTCATGTCGAGCTTTGATATATTTAGACTTTGCATATAAAAATGGTGAAGCTGCCTTATGGTAGATGCAATGGTTGATGCTACAGCCATGGATGATCTATATTTAGCTAGCATTTTTCATAAGAAAAAGTGTGGTAAGTACTGTGTTGGTCCTGTTTGTGTGTCCTGAATATGTTCAAGTAATCTTTGCTTAGGATCAGGGCTTTTTCAACTGATCACTTCATATACACCGCACTCTAAGCTCTTATAAAGAAGTGGCTGAAGAGAAAGCCCTTAACCCCGAACGAAATACGTCAGCCATTCACAATCTACATTTGCTCATGTAAGAAAAAGCAGGCCGCACTGGAAACTCCAGCGAAGCTTTTAGCAAGTTAGTTAAACGAGCGGGCTTCGGTGCATCTTACATACCTGGCCAAAGGTTAAGGCTCGAACATTCAATTGTCTCCGCCAGAATGAAGCTCGGGTGAAACTAAGTAGAAGTCCGTCCAGTCAACTGCTGCGCCTCGACGCATTTCAGGGAGAACCAGTTAGCTCTGGGTTCTATTGCATGGTTGATGGCCCAAGCTCCTCCAATAGATGTCGCAAGCATGTGCCAAAAATGATGAGACAAGTAATTAAGACTTCGATGAAGGTGAGGATAGTGGACTTGACAGGATATATGGTGAGATCCATTTCTCCTATTTTGGCGCCCTCTGGAGTTTCGTGACATCCTTCCTTAAGGGTGTCACGAAACTCATGAGGGTACCAAAATAGAAGGGAAAGGAAAGACCTTACTGCTTGCTCGTACGACTTTGAAATTCTTGAAACACAACGCTGAATGGAAGCTTCTAGAAAGTTCTGAATCTTAGTTTTCTCTACATCCTCATCGTTCATGCCGGATGTTGAAGGGGTTAGCGTAAGATGAGAATTCATGCCGGATGTTGAAGGGGTTAGCGTAAGATGAGAACTCGGTTACCTCTTCTAGGCGTGAGCTAAATAACAACGAAGCTCTAAAGTGTCATGGCCACAGCGGGCAGAATATGCAGAAGAAACACAGAAACTGAATAATCATTACATAAAATCGCAATGCACGTAGAGAGATGTTGCAATTAGTCAGACGAAAACGAGAAAGTCTTGGGGAAGTGGACAATGAATGCTTTTAAGTAGCCGAAGTGGAAACTACAGAAGGGTATGATGGCAACTTACTCTGACCTTTCACGCCCAGAAAACGAGACTGGTACATTATCGTCGATGTATAAGGACCACTTTTGTTGTGTTGCCTCCATTTGCCGACTACCCAGAACACTAACCACCAAAAAGGCGTCGCTCCCATCAGCAGCTGGAGTGCTTATATCAATGGAACTGCTATCTTCGCGCTAGGGACTCCTTTCTTAACGCTGCAAGCTGCTTTGCTAATGTTCCCCAACTTAATGAAGTTGTACGATTTTACAGAAAACATTTTTCCAACATCAACGACTTCAAAGATGTTGACTGTTACTTCTATCATATAATGAGCTGACAAGCAACCTTCTGCACTGTGAGAGCAGGCAGATCAATCGTCAGATGACTTTGAGCCTAAGGAATAACCATGGACAATACTTTGGAGTACTCCGCCGGACTACTGAAATGAATCAGGAGGTTTGCTCTGGTGTGCCGCAGACTTTCTGACTCTGAATCCATGATGTTGGAATGTTGAAACTTTACAAACAACACTCCAGTCGAGGTATGTGAGGTGACTTACTAGTTCGTCAAATTTGCCCAGGTCTTCCTGTGTGGATGGTCTTAACCGAAGGAAGCTATCGAACAATTTAGTACATTGAACAGAGAGTGGAAGACAAGAAAAAAAATCTCCTCGAATTCCAGGATCGAGTCTCTCATACAGAGGGAAGTACTGTTGTGTTGAAGCAAGCCAAGGTTATAAAAAACATATAACTATGAGGAGAAGAGGTTTTAACTCTCTCCTTGTTTTGTTGTGCTATTAAGGACATTACAAATGCGTACAAGCGAATAAAAACAAATGTATCGACCCTAACATGTCGACTTCACTTTGTGGCCTAAAACCACAAACCACTTCATCTTACGACACCCGAGTCTTCTTTGCTAGATATTTTCTCAACACAGGTGACAATCGAGCCTTCGTTTATGGCCCAGAACACGTGGAAAAATGCTCAGATATGCACTAGTCTGCCTAATGCCCTCCCCGGAAATCCTGTAGGGTTGGTAGAGAGCCCTGTCCAGTTCGTTCCCAAAACATCCGAAGTAATCTTGTGGGTAATCGGCCATGTGAGCTGATTTACAACATTTGAGCTGCCTTGCCTTCACTGCTCGCCGCGCACGACCCTCTTATGTTTCATCAACGCCACTCGGAGTCCGAAAGGTCAGTACTTGTGAAACTAAATGTTGTAAAAGTATCTTGGTCTTCTCGGTCAAACTTTGGATCAGCAGTACCATGATCTCGACAAAGATATGGGAGGACACATCGTCATATGAACTTGTCCTGAAGTTTCCTGCAGTTTGACAGCGTACTTTGTACCGAATAGAAGCGAACATCCACCCTGAGCCTCAAACCTCAAACCTCAAACCTTGGACGCCGAAGCAAGTAATGAACCAGCATGAAAGTCACTTTTTTGTTCTCAGAGGAGGTGTTGTGGCGTTTCGTCGTTACGACAGAACAAGTCGAGGGCACGTAAGATAGACGATTTCGCTTGTCTAAAACAAGCGCCGCCACTGCTTCCGATCCGCGAAGTCTGTCGGCATGAAGTACAGAGTCTAGCTACAGAGAGTCAGGAAGTTGAATCGTCGTCCAATGCGAAGAGGAGACGGTAGAATCGGGCCACCGCCATTGGGTTGTAATAGTTCAGCACGCCATGCGCATGTCACGCCACGCTTAACCAACTGGCGCTCTTGTCCGCATTGCCATACTTCTTCATTTGTGACTGAGTTACGAAACAGGGAAATCGAGATTCTCAGATGCTGCTACTAGAGGATCCACGTGAGTCATGATTCTTCGAATGCTAGTGTTTGACTGAGTTCGTTCGAATATGTAGAACAATTTTCTCGCTGTGATGCTATAAAGGTCAGGCCTATATTACACGTTTGAACTTGATGGGATCTTCCCATTCTCATCCCAAATTAATTGGTCCTCGCTACTTCACCTTCTCAAGAAAGCGTATTCCGTTCTCTCTGCTTCTCAATTACGTCACCCATTGCATGAATGGATCGATCTTGCGGGGAATTATGACTAGGAAGGAAACCGTCCGATAAAAAACGTGGTGAGATTAACGACCGAAACACTGATTTTCTCACAGGAGCGAAATGCGGAGAGACCGATTGGGAGCGGAAGATGACGAAGTCCAGGACTTTGATGAAACCCTGCGGAGGCCATGCTTTGGCCGACTCTATATCCACAGCCGAGAATACTCTTGATCCTGTTATTCCTTCAGCCGAGCGCTTTCCCCAAAGCGCGCGGCAGCAAATGGGCAAAATGTTTTTTGGGTAATGGGGGAAATCGATAAGGCACCCTCCCCTCCAATACGTAACTGAATATGGGGGGTTTTTCTCGGATACGTATTCACACGACAACCCTAACCGTGACATATACTGTACTTTGAGAGCTTAGATGAATTTTTGGAGTTATTATGAGAAGTTCCGTTAAATCTATGCATACTTCAATCTATGGACCTTCCACTCAGACGATAATGGGATTATCGCAACTGATCCCATCCATTATATCTTTATAGTCTCTATCTTCAAACTCTCTGTTTTGATGTGAATCTAGGCGCACTCCAGTAAAAATCAATCAGCAACATGTTTTAACCGTTGAAGCTCCATGATGGTGACGACTACATTTTCCCTGCACATAAAATAGATATTCGACAATCCTGAGAAGCGCATCTACTCGGACCCCGTGCTCGAGCGCATTCCTTTTTCCTTTTCGTTACGTGGTACACCCGCCAACCACGTGCAGACTCGATATTACAATACTACCATGGACCGGCCGTGCGTCACTGAACAAGGAGGGGCTTTTCTCGCGGTCAAAGAGTTGATCATTGACACGGAACATGACGAACAGAGAATTGGCGGAGAGAAGTGCAAATAATGTGTAAACTTTGATCCAATTTCGGACTTGGAATGGGGAGACAATGGACCTACGATGATTTTTGACTATCATAGAAGTGAGACAGTAGATGAAACGGAGGAATCCCATTTTGGAGTTCTTGCATGTAACCGTTTCAAAATTGCCAGAGGATCATTCGATCGAAGATTAAGGTTTTGGTTTTCGTGCAGATGATCGATATGGATGTCGTAAAGGGAGCTTTAGCTCTATGAAAACGACAAACAATCGACGTTTGGCATGGATCAAGCAGAATCGCATTTCAAGAAATGACCAAGAAGCGGGGAAGATGAACGCGGAGGAAAATTTTCCTGCACTTGCGGCATTTTAGTTCGTCCAGAATGACCAATCACGGATCAATAAACACAAGAAAGTACCGAGAAGTTCATGCTGATAACTTTTGTGTATGGTTAGCCAATGAAACTCCAACGTGCGATTGATAAAAAGAGGGCCTGCTCTTTTTGAAGATTTTTGAGCTGCTGCGAATTTTGTTCCATTATATTATAACAAGTTTGAGCTACGGGACAGACATGGAGCAAATGATTTGTTTCTAGATTTGCAGCATGTAGAGAACTTGAAAACTTTCATTGAGATACACTGCATCGATCAAACAAGTAATTATTGGTGTATAAGATGTTTGTTTGACATGTTCAAAATTACGCTTGATATAAAACATAAAACATAGTTGTCCTTTTGACCCATTCTCTTCGGAAGAGTTCCCGGTCATGACATCAAAGTGTAAAAATGAAAATTTACAGGTTTAGCCACGTGAAAAAACAAATAAATGTATATTTAAACATTTCTATTTGGATTTTTTTTTTATTTGACCGTATGATGGATGCAACTAACTTCATGAATATTAAAATGTTGAAATAATATGTCGCTCATTCTGATAACCCACGCAGTTTTATTTTTATATCTTGAGTTTCTGCCTTTTGCTTGCATTGTGGACAATTGCGTTGTATCGTTGAATCATTTTAATTAGTATCACGTATTCGCAGCATTAAGTTTGAATTCGGCGGTGGACTTCCATTTATGTATACTGCAGATTTTGTAAGAGCAAAGGGAAAATTTCTTTGATTTTTTAAAGTTGTTGTATTAGGTTTTCCATTAGACTTTTGCTCAAGATCTGACACAAGCATTGAAATCTTCCAAGAGCATTAAGATTATATTGCAAATGCATGTGCAACGCGAGTGTCAACAGGAGGCTGATAATTACACGAGATTGTAAGCAGTCAAAAGGTTGAGCAAGAGAACAATCAAACTTGACATACGAAGCCATAGTAGAGCTTGAGGAGCTTGACGTAAAATTAGTTTTGCACCCAAGGCAATCTTACAAGTGGCAAATTTGTGGTTTTGCATGTCTTGACATCAAAGTGCACACCTGACCAACCTGAACAAGTTGATTCATACATGAGAGAATCACAAGACGGGGGAGAAGCTCTAGTTTAAGCCTTAGCCCGTTGACATGTCAAATTAAGAAATTTGGAGTCCGTTGAGCAAGAAAGCTTTGGAGTAAAGAGAGAATCAACTGTTTACAAATAAGCATGTACAGTGAATGATCATTAAAAGAAATTTAAAAAGATATGGAAAAAATTTGAAAAGGAGAAATATATATGTATGTGTATATATATATATATATATCCAACAAGAATAAGGAGTTTAGCTCCCACCATCTGTAGGGATTTCAATCCCCATAATCTACAGAAAATCAGAGTCCACACACCATAGATACACAAGCATTTGTTGACGAGGTTCAGCTTGAAAGCCTACTAACCGCGAACTCCTCAATGAAGGCAGTTCGAGTATATATATCCAATATCAATTTCTTCAGACTTGACCTTCCTATCTGCCATTACAAGGTTTCAGTCTATTGAGAACTACACACGAGAAATCACTACTGTCTCTCGAGCAAGACTAACACTTACTCATAGGTGATTCCCTCCCGTAGGTGTCTCCCCGTTCTCACTCTCGACTATTCTTGAAAACCTT